TAAGTTGGTAGTACTTACTCGCCAAGAAGTCGGAAAATGCTCGGAAGCCATTGGAAATTACTAACTCATTCACTTTCACTTTTTTGGAAGTTAATCGAGATCGAAAAGCTGACTTTGCCGTTGTAAACGAGTGCTCAAACGCCGCTGACTTTTTTTTCTTAGTATTCGAGATAGCCGCGAGGGTTTAGGCGGAGGTTACGTTACCTATAGGATCGATTCTGACATCGGCTCGAGCCCACAAGCTTGAGATTTCTCTCCCACTGAGTCTATGGTGTCTTACAAACGAGGAATAAGCTTTTATATTCGATGCAGCATCGATGCGATTCCAAATGTTTACTTTGTTATTTGTTTACTTTTGACAACTTACCCACTTCCTTGATTCCGGCTGGTACGCTTTTAATCCTTTCGGTTCCTTACTTTTTTTCGCATTGAATGGTGCACTTCTTATTGAATCGAGTTGATGACTAAACGCATAATATCAAATAAATACACACATATGTATTATTTGATAAATACCTTTATAGGTCAGAACAAAAGTTCTCGAAGTGTAGTTGTCTGATAATAACGGAAAGTCTTATGACTGCGGCAATCGTTTATGAATTCCTGATTCCGAATCAGTTTTTCGCAATCCATTTTCCTCAANTTTTTTCGCCGATTATTTTTTCAAGTGTTTTTTTTTTGAATGACTTATGATGCCATTTATTCGGCGAAGAATTACAGTTATGATAAGCACCTTGACTATAGGTGACAGATGAAATTTTGTAGTTGCGGGAGTTTGATTCATTTGACTTGCCTTTACTCCTAAACCGATTGTTTTTCCACCTATTTTTCAAGGTTTTAGCCAGACTATCACTAATATTATTCTTAATATTATGTCAGAATTTTATATCATTTCTCTTGAATATCAAATATGAACACCATTCTTTAGCCTGTCTCTAACTGGTACAGTTATAGTCTCATAGAGTTCTTTCGTCCCTGTATGGCGTTCCCCAGCTGTTTGGCCTGGAAAGCTCCGTTCAAGAGCTGTGGGACGAGCCCTATCCGTTGGGTAAAGTTCACCGTGATTTTACTATTTATTATCAGTTTAATTATCTCAAAATTTTCATGATTTTTTTTTCTATTTCCCATTTGTGGTTGACGAATTCGGTTGTTGAGTGACTCAAGTTGANTATGAAGTATTTCAGAATTGGATCTCGAGCTGACTCGTTGCACGGGATGTCGTCGGCGAGTAGTGTCTGCTCGTCGAACGACATCGACTATGGACTCGATAGTCGAGTAAGTTGCATGTTACACCTTTGACTGGTATCTTTTTGCTGTTAATCGGACCCCTTCCAAGAGGAAAAGTTTGAGTCCGAACGCAACCAGAATTCAAACTCGACTCTTTGGGCACCCGGCTTACCCTAGTAGAGTAACGGCATGAAGGGCTTATGTACCCACAACTGCTTTATGACGCTTTAACTTTGAGCGGTTTATGTGTCCATAACTGCTTTATGTTTCAACTTTCATTCATTCGATGTCGGTCTTCATTTGGAAAATCGAATCGTTTAATCTAAAAAGAATATAGACAGACTAGTATAATTACTTTACCCATCTATTGGTAATAAATTTCAGATACCGCCTGCCATAAAACGAGATGTTGAACGTTTTTCGATGTTCATTTCGAGGCTACGAGCTGCTCTTGATGTTGACACGAATGTACCAGGTAAGAGTGGGTTGTTGTACAGAGAATCTACAAAAATGTCCAAAATTACATTGGATGTGGACATAACCTCCTAATTTGAGCTCAAAAAGTTGAGATATCCAAATCTTGACATACATATCGTTTTGAAGGATATTGATTTGATTTAGTTGATTTTTATTTATTGGATTTTTCGTTGCATTGCAAATGGGATCATGCTACATACTTGCGCTCTGTCTATTTTTTTTTGTGAACCTGAAATAAAACAATATTCTTCCATCATTGGGGTGGTCTGGTGGCTGCAGTAATGAGGGTAATTTGCTCATGGCTCTTGTGGTTGTCGAACTTAATAAAATAAAAATAAATTAAATGAATGGCTCTGGTGGTTGTCGAACTAAATAAAATCAAAATAAATTAAATAAATACTCATTCGTTCAATGGAATCAGTTAATCATTTACATAGTTTGTTGGCCTCATAAGTAGTAATACTTGCGCTCAATGATTTCGATTGAAGATTACCTCTGAGAGTCGAAGAGCAATTTCTTTAGTTGTCTCCTGCACCCTTGATAAGACGTCCCCATTACGTTTTGAGTTGGTTTTGTTTACTTTGTCAAATGAGGTTGTTGGTCAGAACATTTACCGTTTTTAGTTTTGAGATTGGACCTTTGTTCTCTGATCAAAAGCCTGGGGTTGAAAATTTTGACATAAGTACCGACCCAGTTAAATTCATCATCCTCACGCTCGCTTGCTCCTTACTTTTTTGTACCTTAAGTTGACGTTTTCCGTGGAAAAAATGACCCTGACTGACTCATACTGGTCGAATCGGAGTAAGAACTTGTTCTTGAGACCATTCTTATCGTATTAGGCGTCTATTCAAGGTTGATGCTCTTAACTGACATTTTATCGGGGATTTTGGCCACGAAATTCTATCAAATAGTGTCACGGATTTGGAAACTTTGACTGATGCGGCTATTTGATGTCTAAGGCGTTTTTGAGGTCGAGGAATGTTGTTAATACGGTAAAGGCTCTAAGTGGCATTGTCAGATTTTCGAGCTTATTTCGTCGGGTAGGAAAATGAGTAAACTGTAAGGGTTTTGAAAATAGAATTTAAAGATTGTTTATTACTAAATATTGCCCCTTAATCTACTAGCTGCCTGCAGAAAACTTTCAAAGCAGCATTTTTGTATCACAAGTGATGCGAACCACAAAAACGTTGGTCATTTCACTTCGTTCATTATGAATGGTCCGAGAGTAGGGAGGTAATATATCTCTACGTAGGTAGGTACTGGGTAAATAGCTGAGCATGTAGTGCAAATTGTCTCCTATCTTTNTTCAAAGCAGCATTTTTGTATCACAAGTGATGCGAACCACAAAAACGTTGGTCATTTCACTTCGTTCATTATGAATGGTCCGAGAGTAGGGCGTAGGTAATATACCTTTAGGTAGGTAGGTACTGGGTAAATAGCTGAGCATGTAGTGCAAATTGTCTCCTATCTTTCATTGTTATTACTTCCAACATATTATTGATTTGATTTTATTTATTTTCGTCTCTTTCTCTTTTCTTCTTTTTTCTCGCTTGAGATTAAGCAATTTTTGTGTCCTGTTGTCCGCTATTTCATGTAATGGCGCTACTTTTTGTTTCCTTGTTCACAGGTTAGATCATTTCAATTCAATAGAGATAATTTGATTTTGAAAACAAATAATGAAGTTTTCCTAGTTTGACTTAATGAGTTTTATTTATTTTTTTTTTGTTTAAAGCCGTAATCCGGAATTCCGATTCGATCTGCAACTATTTAGTTAGGGTTTGATTTGACTTAAGTCCTTTTTGACTTGAATATCGTGAACTCAACAGTTTGCTTACTTGTTAGGGTAAATAGCATATAGTACAATTCTTAAACCCCCATAATCTTGCCTGATAAAGTTTTGATGCGAAAGTACAGTTTTCCCGTGAATTGTGGGATACCCAAGCTGTCCCAGACATTCAACTTGCCTTCATTAGAATTTCATTGAGGCCGAATTCATTTAATTAAATTAATTCTGAGAAAAAACACAAGAACGTCAACAACACAATGACGTTCAGCTCTCGAATCTGTAATGAAGAAAGTTTTGAGAGGCTGAGGAAACATGTGGGTAGAGGCTGTGGTAAACTTCGACATAGTCGCAAAGGTCGTTATCTTGGGTACTGCCAGGAAGAGGATGACAGTCACCTCACTGGAATCCCAGCACCCATATTGACGAGTCTTTTAGGTTCCTTTTCTAAAAGCAAAACAATTGCAGAAGCAGCAGGAAACCGTAAGCGGAAGCCTCCAAGATTGCGGATTCTCATGTAATTGGCAAAGCCGCTAACAGAGATTTACCAATGGTTTTCGACGTAATTGTGTTCGTGCATCCGCAGTAAAAAGTCCTAGAGCGGAAATGGACGCGAGTCAAGTGTAAAATAAAATAACATATTAATTTTATTTTAAAAACAAATTTCGGAACTTGGGTGTGCAAACGTTCTGCGAATTCTGTTGACAACTTTCCGCCCTTTTGGAAGTCGGAAAGACAGCGTCTGTGAAGGGCAAAGAGTCAAGCTGTTCAGTTTCAGCTCTTCACGGATAATGTTCTGACGAATAATTCGATTTTTCTTGAAAATTTTCCTTACGACGATTTCAGCCACCCTTATTTCAGCCCAAGAAGCATTTTAAAACTGTAATGATATAGATAATATAAAATGTTAAAAATGAAGATGTATGCGACCAGAGATGTCATTCCATAGTGCTCGCTAACTATGCTTGATGGAATGTGAGATTATGTGGCGGTGTCAGGGATTACAAACATATTTATATAGATGAGAAACAAGTATCAAAATGTCTCATTGAAAAACCATACAGTTCTAGATTAGTTGCAAGATGGCGTTTTTATGGATTTTTCACATAGAAGAGTATATATAGATAACAGTATATATAGATAACAGTTCTATTGTTTACAGAGAAAATTTGAAAAGTAGATTAGTGCCAGATTTCTTCCCACTTCTACCAGCAGGTCGTGTTGATCCTCAATAATTTGTGACATCAAATACGATTTCTTTCAAAATGTTGTGGTTATTATTCTGCAACAACCCCGTTAGAGGCCTTTTTCGTCCAATTGGAATTGTAGACTTTTTCCGGTCGAAAAACGATCAGTATTCCAAAAAGCACTTTTCAGATGGGGAGTCGATGTGCGTGAGTGTTCATGCAGCACTGGAAATGGTCTCGGAATCGATTTGTCCATTGAAATTATAGACTTTTTCTGGTGGAAAAACGATCAGTGCTTCATAAGGTACTTTCCAGATGGGGAGTCGATGTGCGTGAGTGTTCATGCAGCACTGGAAATGGTCTCGGAATCGATGAGAGACCTCTTCAAACATCCTCAGTTCAAAACAAATCACGTCATACTGCCCAGTCTACAGTTGGTACAAAGTGTAAAAGGTAAGAAGAGCCATCTTTCACTGAGAGTCATTTCACTCCTAAAACCTATGGCCTAGATTGGTTAGATGTCTAGATTGCTTTCCACCCAGGTGGACCAGGTGCTTCACTTCAAAGCATAATGAAATTATACCAATTATTTCTCAAAAACTAAAGCAAAATGGCATTGTACCAATTCTTCTTAAAAACAGGCAGAGCGATAAGTGCCTCACTATTTGATGTATAGTGGGGCTACCGATGCTTGCATGTATTCCACAGTTTCTAAATTTTTTTATAACTTTTTTTGTGAATCAATATTTGCTGATGAGGGCTTAGTTTTTCGGTTCCGCCCTGAGTCAGAGACTTTACGAGGCTTTGTTTCATTTGAACACCATGGCAATCAACACACACCATTGTTCACCAGCCTCTTATCAGCGTTATTTTTCTGGGGCCTGTCCTATTAGGGATTTTTTTCGTGTATTGATGCCGTCTCTTTCCATTCACTCAGTGGATCTAATGCTCTCTAGGAATCCATAGGCATCACCGGATGCCTATTTCTTTGGGAAAGGGGCGGGCCTGAAGTATCATACATTCAGGACATTTCCATACATTTTTCGAGACACTTGTAGCTGCTTCTTTACAGATCTACATAAAAGAAACATAATTGTATCTATTTTGTATGGTGTTTGAAAGTGAAAGAGACCTTTAAGGAAATAGTTTCATCGCTTTCTGTAAGGGTTACTATAAAAGGAACGTAATAATCACTAGGAGTGGTATAACTTTGTTCAATTAAAGTATTGTTGCGGGAACGATAGAATTTGTTTACTATTACTTCTACTGTATTCATTTTCGATTTATTGTTTGTTATTTATTGCTTGTTTATTGCTCTATACTTTATCATCGTAGAACATTTTGTAAATAATTTGCATTTATTTTGGCTATATTACTACTATTTTCCGGTAGTAGCTCCTGCTGGGTTGTCTGCTATCGTTAGAGCTTTAGCTGTCAACACAGCTGGGTCTTCGGAGCCCTTCTGGGGATCGAGCTCCAAGCAACATTCTCAGCTTCCTTTTCTTCACATTCCAGGATGTTTTGCCTGTTTCGAAATGGCGTAGCTCGAACATGTCTCGCGAACTTTTTACTCAATCTCTAGTAAACAGGCAGCTTTGAATGATCTTCAATGAAATGGCGACAACATCAGTTTAGAAGCCCTGAAGATGTGATTTCCTGTCCAAATCGTATTATGTGAAGCCATGAAAAACATTCTGCGGCATGTCGCGATGATGTGTGGCGCTAATAGGCCCCTTCATATTTCTCTTCCATGTATCTCTACAGCTTTTTTACTTATTACTGCATGTCTTCCTTTTCTTCAACCTATCGCTTTTTTTTACTTTTGGTGGCTATTTCTATCGAAAAAAAGTGCGACTGGTAATGGTACTGTATGATATCGTATCAAGGTAGAATCGTGATAGGTGGAATTTAACCCGAGCCAACCATGCTGTTCCTCCTTCCGGGGTTGGCTTTCATTACTTCACTTCTCTGTGAGGAGAGGAGCACTCGTTTTTATACTAGTTGCTCCACCACATCGTTGGGACAAAATAAACGCTCCAGAAGTATTTTAATGTAGGGCGCATCTCAAAACGAAGTTTGATGAGTCTATATTGATTCTCTTTCTATTTGCGCGGGATTACTTGACGCATACTGACTTTTAAACCACATCTGCTTGAATTTCCAAATCGATATTTTAACTAAAATTTGAGTCTTTACGATGGTGTTGCTGAATGCCAATATGATTCTGCGGTAAATATTTATCATCCCTGACGATAACGAGACCTATTGTAGTAGCCAAATGGGGATCTCAGTTCGGTTCTCTTAAAGTGGATTTTCATCCCTGTATCTATTAGTAAGTAAGAGTATCGCGTTTATGTAAGCCAGTAGAATCGTATTGTTGGGCTTCCAATACTTCAATCAGTAAAATAGCTGTTTTTGAGAGTAGCCATTATGTAACTAGATGAATATGTGCGTTCGCAAGTGAAATTAAGAGCAACAAGCCATATTACCGTGAAATTCAAGAAGTTTTTGCAGCAGTTTCAGTGCGGTACAGTACATGTACCGTCCCAATTCCAATTAACCATCGTGTAGAAAGCATCGTGTTCAATGAGTGAGGGACAGATTTAGTACTTTTATAGCCATCTCAATATCATCATTGCCCTCTCTATCGCAACATACCACCCATCCAAGTGTCCATGTCCACATACACTTGCCGTGCTGTAAGTTAAGGGGTAGTGAGGGAGGGGGTAGATAAAATCTAGCGAAGAAACCCTCAAGGCAGTATGTATGTAGCTCTGATTTTTATCATTTTCCATCATGCTTCCTATTTATGTTTTTATCAGCGTTTACCAGTACATTACCCTTAGAGTTTCTGGTTATGCGGACAGCAATTTTCTGAAGAATCGTGATTATAAGGTCTTTTGCTTGTCTTCCTAGAAGTGAGCTAAGCCACACCTCATGCAATTCATAACGTTCAGATCTGAAATTTGACAGCGCTATGGTGGAGACGACTCGAGTACACAACGTGATTGATCAACTCGAATCAGCCGTTTTGAATACAATAATGTGAGTTCAATTGCTTTAGTCATAGTTTGTATACTTTTTATACTGACAAGTTCGAAGGGGTACTGCCTCTGATGCTGAGAAGGTAGTGATAGATTCGATAAACGGTCTGAGACCTGTAGGAAACTTGTGGTCAACTCGTGGAGTGGGCGGAAAGTGTACTTCATTGGCTGGAAGTTCTTCTATTTTTTCGTTCTGTAATGCATTTTTTGACCTCTACGGGGTTAACTTCAATTTTATTGTGAATCATATGTTTAACTATTGAATATGACCCCCCAAAAACAAATAAAAAGAATAAAATTAAAATCAATAAGTGTTGGATACGTCGTTGTGCACTTTTGTTCCAGGGAACTGTCTCTATCGAATGGGTGCCATAATAAGAAGTGTTACATTTTTATTCTTCATGTAGCTGTTCGAGTTCGTTTCGTGATTACCAGTGAGACACGTGAATTCGTGACCTCCTAGCAGCTGAACCTGATAAGGGGTGGCGTGGCAACAACAGGGAGGATTTCTAACAGGACCCGTAAAAAACATCACTTCTGATAAAGAGCCTTTTAATCTGACGGGACCTCCCACTTCGTCTTGATTACTGTCGAATTTTTCTGTACGTTCTTATCATTCAAGATTAATGGCGCGATTTGGAGGGATTAACTGCTCATGCAGTTGAGTATGCTTCCCTGTAGCAAAAGTTTTTGATAAGTACTACTAGGTCGTCCTACGATTTTTCTTCCAATTTTTCTTCTTAACCAAAAAACCTAATCGTATTCATATCGAGAAGGGCTAATCAACACTGATTATAGCCGATTTTTTCGTAATTGATTGATTTTCGTGATTTATCTTTAGAATAATGACCATATTTTCCAACTTTTCGGAATAATGGATGTTTGGACTCAAGTTGCCACCACTTCCCGAGTCCTTTGAGTTCTCAGCGGATGCCTTTCTGAAGTAAAGTGAACGGAAAGTGTACTTCACTGGCTGGAATTTTTTCGTGCTATGATGCATTTTTGGCTCTTGTTTGCAACTTATAAATATAAAATTTAGTTATAATGCTCAATAGATCAAGTAGCTGCTTGATCAGGGTACAAAGAGTAGGAACATGGCATGGCTAACCTTCAATGTAACGAGCTTTATCGTGGTCTCTGCCACCCAAGTTGACCCAGTACTTTAGTGAAATAACTACAGTTTTAGCTTCACTGTTTTCTTATTTGTCTATGGATGGGAATTTTTCTATTTGATGTTCTCCTGGAATGATTAATTTTTTGGATTTCAGAAACAGTCACGTCAATCAACCAAGCCCTGCTCGCCATTTTACCCTTGGGAGAAGACCGAAACCCGTGAGTTTGTAGCTCGAGTTTTCTTTTTTTGTGATTTTTCAAAGAGATTGGTCTGGAAAAAAGTACTACTCGCTACTCTTCCGATCTTAAATTGTTCAACAGCACTTCGTAAAAAATGATTAATTTAATTCTGCCAGCCAGAGCAAAAAATGAATGGAATGATTTTCCTTTTCTTCGTTTTTCTTTTCTGACTTTACTTCTCAGTGGTGGCGGTTCTAAACTTTTTTTCCTCGGAAAATGAAGAGCTGACTTTTTTTTCGAGGCATCTCTAATATTTGCATACTCCCGGGGTAGACAGGAACGGTGCCTTCCACTGCACGTAAACAAGTTGGCTTTACGATTTACCAAGTTTTCGTATCTGTTTTTGTCATTCACTCTTTGTCTGGTTTATCGACTCCACGGCTTTTCCATAATTATGGTATCTTTTTTGACTACCACTTGTTTAGAGGTTTTTGTAGGATTTATTATTCTCAATCATTCCTGGCCGTTGGAAGTGTTTGAAATCTCTAGAAAAGAACGTTTAAAATGATGTCAAGGAGTAAATAAGAGAGCATAAAGTGCAAAATAATGATTAATAAAAGGGTGTGGGTGAAACTGCCACCCTATGGGAAATCGACTTTTTAGATAAGTCAATGGAAGACGACATTAATCACTGACTTTGTACTTTGGATGATAATTATTCCTCGGATACTAGACACTGTAACTGTCAATTACGGTAAAGTACTGTAACCGATAAGCACTCCCAAGAGTTCTTTGTGGACTGATCACTTGCGCTGAGTCTATTGTTAACACCCTGAGTCAAAGAGTAAACCAAGGAACTTAATTTGTACAGTCTAAGAATCCATAGGGGTTACGGTAGCAAATAATATATCTGTAGGAGAACGAAGAAGTTACGTAAAAGTAATATTTTTTATTATTTTGCCATTGTATACATATATTTTATTTTTACCGTTATTGTAGTGTCGAAGCAATTGCTTGTTATATCACTTTATCACCTAATATCATTGCCCGCTATTGATTTCGGTATTACTATATGATATCAATTTCTAAAAGAAAGTAAATGTATGTTAGGTAGAAAATGAATGGAAACAGTTGTTTTTGTATTTTCTTTACCTTTACTACATAGTTTCTCT